TATCAAATTGAAGATCCTTGTAGACCATCCGTGGCACGACAAAATTGGCAACCCAGTATAAAAAAAGGAGTAAAGCACTGTCATAGAGGTAAAAGGAGACATCATTGTTAACAGAAATTATTTTCTGGTAAGAGATTTAATTGAAGCATATGCCATGACAAACCTTGTCCGGAGAAAGACTGCTAAGTCAGGGGAGGCAGCGGCCGGAACTGCAGCAAGAAACGGGGAAGAATGCAGAGCCCTGGTCCTAACAGAGAATCTATTCTGAAGCCAGGCAGATTCCTCCATGGAAAAACAAAAGAATTTGGCTGTCTTAATTTCTTGCATATATCGACGCTCAGATAGCATTGGCGATCGAAGTGAGTAACAATCGATGCACCTCATTTCGTAACTAGGTTGAATTTAGTTTTCTGTTCTACAGTATGGGGCTGATACTAAAATTTGAGTGTTGTGGTGTAACGGATATGGATAATGTTTTGGGATACCAGATGGGGTTGGCAAAACAGGTTTTTCTTTTTTATTTATGTGAATTTTTTTGTAGACCTCGAGTGATTGGGGAAGGCATGGATAAGTAGAAGTGGTCCTATAGGATTTTTTGCTTTAGATATTCAATGGTCCCACTTGGCTCCTCTTGGTGACCCACCCCGCCCCCACCATTGCTTGGGATCCTTCGAGTTCAGATTGTCTCGTTAGCCATTCCTCGAATTAAATTTTGATACATCAATGTGACTTTAAAGTGTCAATCTTAATGTGACATAATTTAGCATGGAGGAAAAACATATAAAAACTATGTCCTACTAGAATTTTAATACTTAAATATCACATTAATGTGTAAAAATTCAATGGACAATGCTATAAGTATAGAATTTTTTTCACAAATTGTTTTGACAAATAACACATAATTCAATTTCATTGAAAGATGAAAAAAAAAAAATCAGGGCCACACAAGTGCTGCCAACGCAACACATGTAAAAACCCTGTCAACGATTCCATGTACGTAGAGAATTAATCAAATTCAATGGACATATTTGCTCGAGTCCTTGACCTCTTGAAGCAGGAAAAAATGGATGCATATTTAGAGGGTATTTGGTGGGGATTAAAATTAGATTTTTAGTAGATTGTGATAGAAATTTTTGAAATATGTGGTTGAAAAGATGTGGGACCCATAAAAGATATGGTTAATATTGATTGTTTGACTTTGACTTGGATTAAAATCAGATTTTAATCCGGACCAAACATGGACTTAATAGGTTTGGCACAGGTAGCTCACGACACTATCGATTTATGTCAAATAGGGCTTGAGCCGTGATAAAAACAAGGATAGGACAGTCCGATCCATCTTTACAAAATATAAAGGATTATATTGTTGGTGATAGGCCCATAACACATTTAAATATTTGTTACCATGGTCTTGCTTGTACACAATATAATTTATTTTTAAAATTTGAACGATATTCATAAATTTCGGATCAAAAGTCAAAAGAACTAAATA